CCATTCTGCTGGTCCTTATAATAAACTTATAGTCAATATGTCCATCTCAATATTTCTCTTTTCTTCTTTTTAAACAAAAGAATAACAAGTTCCATCCTATAAAATGAAAACAATGTATGTAACACATGATAGCACAGAGTGATATTCCTCCAAAGGTGAAGAATCAGGGCACCTCAAAAAGCATTCAGATCAAAGCAAAACCAAGCCAATGGGGTAAACGTTGAGTCCTCTAACTCAAAGCCTAGCATCTGCTGCTCCTCTGGATTCCAACGAGTTGTGCAGTCTCACCTCTTCAGGTCTGTCACTTGCAACATACAGCTCTTCTATACCAGCAGCTCGCCATCCTACACTTTCCCATCTGCAGTAATACATTTACATTTATTTATTTTTCTTATCTTACCAACCGCCTTCCTCCTGCTCCCCTAGCACTTCCTGCCAACCCATCCCCCATTCACACCTTCAGAAAAGTAAGGCCTCTCATGGAGAGTCAACAAAGCCAGGCTCATTAAGTTGAGGCAGGATCAAGGCCCTACCCCCTGTATCAAGGTTGAGAAAGGTATCCCACCTGAGGGAATGCTCTATAATAAGCATGATTCAGGGCCAGATCCTGCTCCCACTGCCAGAGAACCCCCAAACAGATGAAGCCATACAACTGCTGTCTACCTGTAATATATTTTTATAAACTACAAGTGTATTACATTCTGGAAGATGCAGTTCAATACATCAAGGTCCTACATTTTAATATAATTTATTTGTATTAATTATATTTCCTTTAATAAATGCAAAAGAATACTGAAAAGGTGAGTCCAGATTTAATATATCCCTGAAGGAAATAAAATAGTTTTTATTAGAAAACATGTGCATACTCTGCCTACATGGCAATCGTCTCTACCCCGGACATCTCCAGCATTGTAGAAACTTCTCTGTAATTTATGTTGCAACTTCACAGTGCTTCATTAAATGATTTCTTTGGGTTCCTGAGAGATATCAGACCTTGGAATGCATTATGTGTCCTCTGTAAATTCCTAGAATCTTGATAGAAGTCTTCGTGATTTTACAAATTTTACATTTCACAAACTTGAAAATCATTCTCTAAAATGGTGCACTGTATACTGCCAGCTGGAGATGAACTCTGTCTCATTCTGTCAGTTCTGTAGTGTCCTCTGTGCACCTTAGTATCTGAACCTAGGGGATTTCGTTTTGAACAGAATGCCTTCTGTTGCATTTCCAGGATAGACTTACTCGTGTCAAGTGAGGTCGTAGGTTTACAAATTGGAGTCTTTGTTGGGTGAGGAC